GAAGGAATTGGAGGACTTAAAGTAGGAGACTGACAGTGACATCATTTTAAGTTTGTAAAAGATGTTAAAGTTTGTGAAGAAGGGTTTGGGGGACAAGTTGGGGGGCAGGGAATGAGCAGGAATTTATAGCTTGCAGACTTTCTGCAGGACTGGAGGTGATCTCAGGCTGCCGCTGACCTTGGGGGTGTCAGGGCTCCATCTGGGGGACCTGGCTGCTGTGGGGGTGGTTGTGGCCTTCCAAATCCTAGATGGGGCTGCACAAAGCTAAGACAACTATTTGCAGACACCTTTTTATTTTTATGTTTTTGGTACTGGGGATCAAACCCAGGCCCTTTGCACTGAGTTGCACCCCCAGCCTTTTTCTATTTTTTGAGACAATCTCACTCAGTTGCCCAGGCTGGGCTCCAACTTGCCATCCTCCTTCCTCAACCTCCCACAGAGCTATATCATGCCTGGCTCTTTATAATTTCATTCAATTTAAAATGCAATAGATTGTAGTTTTTTAAAAGGACCCACAAATTTTTGTTTTATTCTTTTTTAAATAAACACCACCATCTACTTTTCCATTAGATTTGTCTTCCCCAAATTTGATCGTAGTGTTGTTTCCCCATTCTTGATTGCCCCTGAAGATAAGAACACCTTCTTTATTTAAACATTTTAGAGTTGATCCCAGGAAGACAGAAAATACTAAGAAACTAACATGGGGAAATGGCTGCAATTATAGAGTAGCCCCAATTCTTAGAGGTTTTATCTGTGTTCTGTGACCACTGACTTCCTAAGAAGCAATGCCTAAAAGCCCTATGGGTTTTTTGGAGTTGTTTTTTTCCCACCTGTTGTTGATATTGCCTCCTTCCCCTAGATCCAACATAACTCTTTTTGTAAGACACAGTCCAGGAAAAAAGTTATATGTCAATGTACATTCAGCCATTTAAGTTAGAAAGACTCAAAGACAGCCAGAGAGATCTCTCATTTTATCTATCACCTGAGTAGCAACTAATTCCTTGCCACTACCAACTTGTAAACTGTATGCACAGATCCTGCTCTAATCAGATGCCTAGAATGCTGAGGTTATCCATCTACATATAGAAGGCAATTTCTCAGCTGCCAGGGGTGGGGCCAGAGAATATGCACTAAATGACATAACAGGATGGTGCTAATAAAGTGGACAAAGTTTCCCTACTCATAATATAAACCAAACAGCAAAAACCGGGTTTATGGGCTCCAAGAAAGGAACAACAGTACCCAGCTTTCTGTCAATCCCTCAATCTCTCTATCCAGGCTTCACCAAATCAAGGTCCACTGGGTCCCTCCAGTCCCTTCCCTCCTGGGGTTGAGGTTGGCTAGCTGCCTGGTGGTGAGACTGTGAGCTGTTCTGCAGTAACACCTGGCATAGCCAAGGCAACCTCATAGTCTGAGATGTGGCGCTATACCTGGGCAGGTGTGAGCTGCATGTAAGAGGCCAGGAGGCGGTGGTTAGAATGGGTCAGCTTCCCAGTACAACTGTGCAGGCCTCTGCTTCAGCGTCCCAAGCTTGTTAGTGCAGGTGGGGCACACAGTGTTGGAAGCAGAGTTCTGCCATCTGACTGTAGACCAACAGGAAGTCTCACAAGTTTCTGAGTTGCTGCTGCTGCTGCTCCATAACCTAGATTGTAGTTTTAGTTGCACTTCTTGCACCCATTTATCCAACATATATTTCTAAAATATCTACCGAACCTGCCAAGTGTCAATCACTCTATGCTGACTGGGCAGGATGTCTCCCTCCAGGAAGTTGTGGTACATATACCCCACTCCCCCATCCCTACAACCAGATATCCCCAAGAAAGGTAGGTCAAGGGCAGGGGATTTAGCTCAGTGGCACCACACCTGCCTCAGAAGCACCAGGTCCTAAGTTTGATCCCTGGTACTTGTGGGGGAGAGGAAAAGATCCAGTAAGTAGGGACTTTAGGACCTGAGCAATGACAAGGTGGTAAGTTCCCCAGGTTTTCTTTTTACATCATATATGCCACACAGGGAGCTGAAGAAGCTGGCAACTGGAAATACCAATGGATACAGACAAAAAAAAAAAATAGCTTGCCATGGGCACATGCCTGTAATCCCAGCACTCAGGAGGCTGAGGCAGGAGGATTGCCACGAGACTAAGGCCAGCATGGGCTACATAGTGAGTCAAAGGCCAGCCTGAAATACACATGGAGACCCTGTCCCTCCCCCTCAAAAAACCCCACAAAAGATGGGGGGAAGAGGCTGGGGATGTAGCTCAGTGCAAAGGGCCCTGAGTTCAATCCTCATTATCACACATAGTTTAGTGTTTCGTTTTGAGAGAGTCTCACTATGTTGCCCAGGCTGGCCTCAAACTCCTGGTGATGCCGCTGCCTCAGCCTCCCAAGTGCTGAGATTATAGGTATATGGCACCACACCTGGCTCATACACACAGTTTAGCAAGACTCTGTCTCAAGGGATGTAGCTCAATGTGAAGGCCCTGGGTTTAATCCCCAGTACTATAGAAACCAAAAATAAAATTTTAAAAAATGGATGTAGTCTCGCATGTCTGTAACCCCATTGCTTAGAAGGCAGAGGCAGGAGGACTGCAGTAAGTATGAGACCAACCTTGTCTATGAAGTGAGACCTTATCTCAAAACAAAACAAAAACACAGGGCCTTGCTCATGCTAGGCAAATGCTATATAACTGATCTAGCTCCCACCCCTTTTATACTGTAATTTTACTGTTTAAAATTTCCTACTATATTTAGGAATGTGATAGGTGTGTAGTTGCCCCTACCACATAGGTTTGTGTTAAGCACATTCTATTCAAACAACAGTGAAATTGTCTGATGTCTTCCTCAGGATGTATCCATGCTAATCTATGCATGAGTGAAAATGTAACAGAATGGGAGGCAGATCACTTAGGCCATGTGTGTGGGGGGCATGAGAAGAGTCTTGCTATGTAGCCCATCCTGGGTTTAAACTCACTATCTAGCCCAGGCTGGCCTTGAACTCGAAGTGATCCTCCTGCCTCAGCCTCCTGGATGCTGGGATTACAGGTGTGCATCACCATGCCTGGTTTCAATGTTACTCTTCACAGAGCCAGATACTTGGCACTTTCTGATGTACTTACGTGTTGGTTTGTATATTATTTCCTACCTCATCCCTGTGGGACTCCTGTTTAGACCAGGACCTTGCACACACAGAGCATCTACTAAGTGCTGGGCAAGTCAGCTCTCAGTCCTCTTTCTGGGTCCTGGAAGTGTCACAGGGTCTGGAGCAGGAACAGCAGCTGACAATTTAACCTCGAAACCAAGAGAATTTGGGCTAAGAAAGACTTCGAAGGCTCCCAGGACTCTTCCAGTTCTGGCATCAATTTTCTCTCCAAGTTAGACTAGCGCTGTGGTGTTTGCCAATTTAGTCTTCCTGTTTGTGGAGAAGAGAGAAACAAATTGCAGATTTCCTGGTCGAGTAATAAAGTCGACACACTCCATCACTCTCCATTTTGTGTGTGTGTGTGTGTGTGTGTGTGTGTGTGTTTCTAGTACTGAGTTAAACCCAGGAAAGCTTCACTACTGAAATGCATCCCTAGTCCTTTTATTTTATTTTTGGTACTGGGCTCAAACTCGGGATCTTGCACTTTTGAGGCAGGCGGCGGAACCACTGAGCTAAATCCCCGGCCTGTTACTTTTTAATTTACTTTGTGATACTGGGAATTGAACCCTGGGCTTTGGGGGGGGAGGGGGTTGAGACAGGGTCTTACTATGTAGCCCAGGCTGGCCTCAAAATTTTGGCAATTTTGGGCCGGGGATTTAGCTCAGTGGTTTCGCCGCCTGCTGCGCAAGCACAAAGACCCGAGTTAGATTCCCCGGTACCAAAAAAAAAAAAAAAAAAATTCGGCAATTCTTCTACCTCAGCCTCTTGGGTGCTGAGATTTCAGGTGTGCACTATTACACCTGGCCTGAACCCTGGACTTTCAACAGAGCTACTTGCCCAGCCCTTTTAATTTTTTGAGACAGTGTCTTGCTGTGTCAACAGGATTTGAATTTGAGATCCTCTTGCCTCAGCCTCCCACACTGATGGGATTACGGACCTGTGGCACCATGCCCAGCTTTTTAATCAGAAACTCTCTAAATTGCCCAGGCTGCTTTGAATTTAGCACCTTCCTGCCTCCGCCTCCGGAGTAGCTGGGATTAGTTGTGTGCCACTTCAGGGCTCTCCAACTATTTCCAACTGAGAGAGCATGTGATTTCAGAAAAGTTGTGCATGATTTAAGAATGACCTAGCAGAGTCATGCTCTGCAGGGTTAGAGATGTACAAAGATCCAGGTGGGACAGCGGCTTAGTGCTGGTGCTCTGGCCAGAGGTTATGGCCAGCAGGAACACAACCCGAAACGACGCTCGACAAATGCAGAGAGGCCGGTTTACAATGGCGCAAGGAGCAAGTACGGGGCAGAAATGAGGGAGAAAGAACCCTCTACAGATAACCAGGGGAGGCAAGGGGATGTACTCGAATACATTAAAGAGAAGTCGAGCGGGCACGCTTGTAACCCAAACTACGAAGGCTGAGATGGGAGGAAATCCGAGAGCTCCAGCCCATCCAGAACTACATAGCGAGACCCTGTCTCAAAAAAATGGAAAAATAAAATCAGGAAATCACACGATGCCTGGGCCCTGGCCTCGGGCTTCCCGAGTCCCGAGCCTGGGTTGGAAGCTCGGAAACGGGTCAGATCTGCGGAAGGCTACTGTGGAAAACCGAGTTTCGGGGGAGACGGGGGCGGGGGCCCCGGAGCGGCGTAGTAAGCTCGACGGGAGGAGGGCGGGAGCGACCACCGCCCCGCGGAGGGAGCGCAGCCGGGGTTCCCGACGGAGGGGCCTGGCGCGAGCCCCGCGAACATCTCCACCCCACCCGCTCACGTCGCAGACCCGCCCCGGCAACGAGGCCGCCGCCTCCTCCCCAGCTGACGCGGGGCGGGGGGCGGGGGCATCGGCGGCAGCACCTTTAAGGGGCGTGGCTATATGCCCCGCCCCTCCGGCCTATCGCGTGCCACTGTGGGAGGGTTGCAGTAGGAGGCGCCCGAGCGTGGAGGGAAAGTGAGGCGTGCGTCGCTGCGCAGGCGCATTGGCGGACGACGGCGCTTCTGTTTCCAAAATGGCGGCAGCGATGGATGTGGATACCCCGAGCGGCAACAACAGCGGCGCGGGCAAGAAACGCTTTGAAGTGAAAAAGGTTGGGTCTCCTCAGTGCCTTCCTCAGGGAAGTTAGAGAGGCGCGGATCAGGCTGGCAGGCCTGAGGGTGACCGAAACGCGGAGGAAAGTGCTTCATTTCAGGGCGTTTCTGAGACCGAGAACCACGCAGGGAAGCCGGCGGGCGGGACTTAGGCTTGATGGGCATGATGACGGCCCACTGTCCTGGGCAGTTGGGTTTCGATGGGGGCGCTCAGGACCCAATCACCGAGGTGCTTCTTGAGATACGCTGGGTTGCGACTTGGCTGCGGGAACCAAGCGCCTGAGCTGTCACTGGACTGGCCGAGGGGTGGGGAAAACACGGCGTTGGGTGGGGGAAAAGGGGAGTCTGAGAGACTGCGGCGGGTGGAGGATGGGGCAGTGCGGTGAAAGCCGGGAACCTGAGCCCTACCGCGTTAGAGGCCCTCAGAAGCCCGGCCGGTGATCTCCCGCCCCCGACCCTTCCTGGAGCTTGGGGTCCTCTGACTCTGGGGGACCCCGACTTGGTCCTCGCCTGTTGGAGTCCTCCATGAGCCCCCTCTCTGGCCGTCGCCCCCGCTGAGTTAAGAGCCGAGAGTAGTAAAGCTTGGCTTGTAGGAGACGTCTCCTGTTGGTTGTCACACCGCCGCCCTGGTCCTTGGTTCTGTCACATCCAGGTCTCTCGTTAAGAACCACACCGCCACAAAAATTTAAAAGCATGATAGAATTTGTTTAAAAGAAAAGAAAAATGCCAGCTCTGATCTTGTGCCTTTTAGGGAGGGTTGAGTACTAGTGGCAAATGACTTGGTCTGAGTGGGAAAGTAGAGACGGGGAACGTGTCTTTTTGCACGAGATGTCTCAGTGATTCGCCAACAGTTCGGGAGAAAAGTGTCGATTCCCGCTTGAGATGAAATAAATCTGTTCCAAATGAAGATCCTAAAATAGGAAGAAAGCTGTTATTCCTGGAACATAGGCTAAACACAGATACTATTCCGTCTCCTTTCTGCGTTTTTTCCCCCCTTTACTTTTTGGCGTCTCATTGTGGTCGCCCCTGTTCATTGAGAGCCAGCAGCCATATTGAAGAATAGGATGGGGGTTTTTCCTCCAAGTTAACGCTGAGGTAGAAAAAGTGCTGGAGAAGTTGCTAGATTCCAAGAATTGGCTCTGAAAACAATAAAGATTTGGGAAGTGACACCAAATTCGTGGATGAAAGGGGTGATTGGGAGTAGATATTCTTGAAGCCAGAAAGTTGAATTATTTAAATACTTTTAGATAAACTTACTGGAATTGTCTTAACTAAGTATGAATCTGAATATGTAATATTTGAGAATATCATTTTATTTGATAAGAACAAAATTCTAATGAGTTCTGCAATGTTATGAAGTAATCTTGTCAGATTTAAATGATGACCTTATGTATACTGACACAGGATGACTAGTTATCAGTTTATCCCGAGAGTACCCACTTTATGATCCAATTATCATCTTAGTTCATTTTGTACCAAGCATTCATCCTCCTGCCCATGCTTCCAAAGCTGCCTTTAAAGAGCAGATATTTATGGGGATTTGAACTCTTCTGCAACTGTCAGGGAAACCTGCACAATAATTCAAGTCTGTGCTGAACCTAAAACAAGTACTTAAAAGTGATTTCTAACTTGCTTAAATTGCTATGGCTAAATTATTTTAAACAATAGGGAAAAAATGAAAAGATGCTTATTCATTTCTGTGTTCATAGACTCTACCTTTTGGGGAATGGGAGAGGAAAAGCGTAGTTTATTGTCATCTAAGAGTAGTATATACCCAAAACTGTTTTTGTGTGGTGGTCCCTGTTGCCAAAGAAATGGTAAGTGCAGTTGTGGCTTGAAGTCCTGAGTGTGTGCCCCTTACAAGGAAAGTGCTTTGTCTCCCTTTTCTCTTTGCAGTGGAATGCAGTAGCACTGTGGGCCTGGGACATTGTGGTTGATAATTGTGCCATCTGCAGAAACCACATTATGGATCTCTGTAAGTAATCAGAGGAGGTTGGGAGGAAGTGGGGAAGGGTACGGAGATTGTAGCTATCCTGTTGTGTATCTCCTTCTTCATAAGGAGATGCGAAGCACAGAGCACATGGAGGTTCTTCGTCTAGGTCAATGGTGTGTTTGAAATAGAGTGGTTTTCATGATGTCCTAGATGCAAACCCAGCTTCCAGAGTAAGTTAATCTAAAGCTGGCAAGGTCATGTTTAGGATGAACGTAGACACAGAAGCACTGTTGATTGGTCCTCTCTATATCCCATCACATATCCAGACCCAAAGGCAGAAATACTGAAAGGAAGAAAATATAAACTTTGAGCTAAAGCAGTCTATCTGGACCAGTTTCTGTTGGGCCAGACTTACTTACAGTTGGAGTTTGGTGTGGTAGTGCATGCCTCTGATGCCAGCATTCTGGAGGCTGAAGCAGAAGGATCGCAGCAAGTTCAGGGACTACCTGAATTAGATAGCAAGGCTGTGTCTCAAAAACCATATACCAAAAAATGAAAGAGTAAATATTAAGGAGTATTATATTTTTGGTATTAGCCCCAAACATAGTCAAAAAGACATCATCATCATCTAACTAGGTAATTATGCTAAAGAAATTTTTTTTGAATCTCTATGTACTTCATTACACAGTGAACCCAATTATTACTGTTGATAGACTGTCTTCATATCCTTGTGATAATAGGGTAAAAATACTGATCACACAGGAACAATGAGATTATTTTGTTGTTGTTTTTCCTTAAATTCTTTTATTGGTACATTTTACGTGTATAATACATTTACTTTTATCATTGGGAACTTGTACCTTTATATGATGTAACTTGGTTCTTATTTTTTCCCCATTCCCCTGCCCTCCCTTCGACTCCTCCACCCCTCCCTATTTACAAAGACTTGGCTTCCATTTTTTTCCATTTCTCCTATTTTTTCCTTTCCCTTCTTTCCTTTCCCCTACACCTCCCACTTCCCCTAACCTTTTGAATCTTTTCTTCCTATTTCACATTATCAATTATTTATTTTAATCCTTATTTACACTTTCAGTTTCTCACACCAGAGAAACTATTCAGTATTTACACGTGTGTCCTATTTATTTCACTTAAG